ATCAGTCTCTCTTGTTTAATTATTTTTAGTCCTCAAACGGATAGGACTTATTTCTTGATTGGCAACATTGAAAAGTGAGGTTGAGTTCAGTGGACCAATGTAATATTGGGAGAATATTGCTCCGATTGCACAATTCTTTTTAAAAGTTTTTTCCAAGTTCAAAAAAGGTCCTCTTTGTTTGTAAAGTTATCTCTGTAAGTGCCAGTTCCATTTTTTCGAGAGGATTCCCCTTTTATCGCATATAACCACCATCAAGGAAAAGTTACTCGCTGAAAAATATTCACAGATAGTATTTCAAAGGTTTTCTATAAGCTAACTTAACGACAAAAAGGTCGCAGAGCTAAAAAAATTGCAGATAATTTTCATATCATCAATAGACTGTCAAACTAATTTACATACAATTTTATTGTTACAGGCTTACTTTCAGAATTGTTTGTAGTGCTACACAATCAACCATTATGAAAACTGGAAGATGCATCCCTTGTCTTGAATAAATTAACCTTGGTGACACAAGCTGGAAACAAAAGAAGCCTAAGGCGATACGGCGAATATTGCGACAGAATAAAGTGATTGAACAGCCTCGGCTATTAGAAAAAACTGAGTAAATGGTCAAATTAATGTCAGAAGTAATCAAGGGTTGGCCACAGAAAAACATAGAAATGCCGTAATTTGCATGAATTAACTCGATTATCCGTTTATTCGAAGGCAGGCTTGAAAAGCGGCATCTGGAATACTTCGTTTTGTTGGTTCAGGATTCTTGTTTTAGAAAGCATCAACAAAGAGGCTCGCCTTCGGAAGAGAGCATTGCGGACGTACCTCTATTGGTTTTTTAACGCTTCTCGGCATGTGGTTCTGGATTATTGCCTTCCTTCTAACATTCATAGCAACCTTCGGGAACGCTCAAGTTATTTATCTTATTATGACGCGAAAGCACCTTCGCACGAAATCAAACTGGTTCGTGTTGTCACTCGCTGTGGCAGATCTCGCCTTAGTTTCCGTCTTTATACCGCCTCAGTTCACTTGCAGCATAACCCACTGTAGTCATCAGATCGTGATTCTCCATTTTGTGTCATATTTTGGAGAAGCGTCCGTTACCAACATGATCGCGTTCACAATGGACCGTTACTTCGCCATAGTGAAGCCACTGAAGTACCCGCTCATTATCACAAGGACAAAGATTGTCCTTGTTCTTATCACCGCCTGGTTGGCGCCGATGATATTGGATCTTATTCCAACTATTTTACTGTCCAACGAAAATAATTTTCAACCTCTAAGCATGATAGTTTTTCAGATAACACCTTGTTTTTTGTTAGTAATTGCAACAAGAAAAATGATCAAGATAGCGAAAAATCATTCAAGACGCACGTCGGTGCTATTGAAACAATTAAGGTTCAACCATTGGAAGGAGACAGTCAGGAGGAGCAAGCCAGAGGCATCTTCTGCTCGCTTGATCACTATTGTGGTGGGAATTTTTTTAATCTGTTACATTTCTCAATCGTTATCTTGGCTTTGTGCCTTTTTCCGATCTTGTAGGGATTCACAACCTCAAAATCTTGTTCCATATACCTTAGCATTACTTCTGATCATAAATTCTGGTGCTAATCCTTTCGTCTACGCGCTTTTTAAAAGAGACATGAAAAAGGAACTCTTTCAAATCTATCTCTGTAAATTACGAAAAGGGAGATGAAACTTTTGGTCCTTAGGTTGTTGTAGAAACTTGTGGCATTTACACAACTTGTTTTATGAACAAAAATGTCTTTGCGTGAGATTTTTAAGTTGATGAAAGCCAATTCCTTCCAAATATTTAACCAAAAAAAGCAAAACTGGTGTAAATCATAGCTTCATAGACTTCACAAGCAAACAATTTTGTTACAGTAACACCTGCATGACAAAGAAAAAATGGAATTTATAAAAGTACATGGCGCGACTGCACTAGCTTTAAATTCATATTTAAAACACTGGACAGAATAAATCAACCCTGAGGTTGTTTAGCATAATATTATAAAATACAGCTTGTGTCAAGAACCTGCAGGTATAATTGTGTTGCTTTAGAGATGGTCCAAGCCGAAGCTATGAAAAAAGAAATGTATTTAGATGCTGTTTGATCATAGCACCTTAAGGCGACTAATGGAACCTAGGTAGACAATCTCCGCTCTCTTGTCAACTTAGGGATTTAAGTTTGCAATTTATTGTCGCCATAATTTAACTGAACTCCGGTCTAGCTGTTTAACTTGAGCTTAATTCTTGACTAATCAGGATTTTAAAACCCACTGCGCCTGCGACTTAGATGAAAACATAAACAACTTGTCAATTTCCACTGTTTTTCTTCAAAACCCTGCGTAGTTTGTTTTATATAATGGCTAAAAGTTTAAATGACCCGGCGGTGGTGAAGTATAATAGAAAGATAGCCAGCTTAGTTTTGATAAAGAATTACTGTTTAAATTTCCGCATATAAAATGTGGAGAGTGCTGCGACGGAAGAAAGAAAGGGCACAAATCCGGACATTATCATATATGCGGCATTCATAACTAACCCAATCTTTTCAAGAAATGAGATTTGAATGTTTTGTGCTCCTCATAAGGTTTCTAAAATTAATCCACTGTGATGAATCTGAGAAGGAAAAAAAACTGAGAGTAAAAGGTTTCCCCTAAAGTGCGAGTTTCTCATTCCATCGGCAAACTATTAACGTAAACCAATTTGAAATAAGAGGCTTACTGTCCTTTTAATTGCTTTTATCTCTTCTCTGTAATGTAAATGCTTTTTCGTTTTTTAATTTAAGGATTTCTTATGTAAATGAAAATTTCTTTTTTACGTTTAGCTGTAAGGAAAGCAGTTTTTAGACAAGGTTTTACAGGGATGAAAAGAAGTAGGTCAATAATGATAAAATAATAATAAACAGCATTTACATAGCGCCTATAAAAATGATAACTGACTTGTTTGCGCTTGTTTCAGGAGAAATTAGCGACAGAGCGCACCACCGTAAGCGAGAGGCACCAAGGATTCTCAACCTGTTTTTTCTCAGTCTTCTTTCATCTATGTTCTCTAATACAATTATACTTGCAGTGAATTCACTTCCCTTTCTGCTCTTCTCTTTAACCGTGCTCTTACTCTGATTGACTGATCGACTGTCTCTCACCAACCTGGTCGACTGGCTCTCTCTCTCTCTCTCTCTCTCTCTCTCTTTCTCTCTCTTTCTCTCTCTTTCTCTCTCTCTGATTCTCACTGACTACCAACTCAAAAGTACATGCTTTCATACACATTATCGGGAGGCAGAAATGTAAATGTAGGCCAATTGACCTTGGAAAATTGAACAGTTGTTATCAGAAAAACGACCCAAACGCCTTCACAAGTAAGTCACTAATGCACAACAACGTACTTAATGCTTCCGATCAAACGATCAGTCTTAAAATAAATGTAGTCCAGAGAGGGGTTGATTGTAAAACTAAGCAAGTCGGCTTATAGAAGTTAGACTAGACAGGCGCAATCAGGGAACTCGACGCGATAGCTAAAACCCATATTTCTTCGGATTTTGTACACAACTCTTAAGTAAAACTACATAAGCAAACCACTCTAATCTTAACTAACAAACTAAGAAGATACCATTTGCAGGTTTAAAGTGATTTTTTTGCGTGTGATGAGCGCGCTTTGCTTCTGCGTAATCTTAAAAAGGCTATCTCAAAATGCTTGCGTCTTACTCGTAATCTTTTTTTTTTCCAAACTTCCCCCAGGCATGACTCATGCCTGGTACAGTGCTACTGACGGTAACGGGGCGTCTGTGAGGGTGATTCTCTTCGATTTTAAAAAAGCCTTTGACCTAATCGACCACCAGATTTTGGTCGAGAAGCTGGGTATATATAACATCCCCAATGCTGTCATCTCATGGATTATCGACTTTCTCACCTCGCGCAAACAGCGTGTTAAACTCGGCCACGACTGCTTCTCAGAATGGGGCGCGGTCCCAGCGGGGGTTCCTCAAGGTACAAAACTGGGGCCGTGGCTGTTTATCATCATGATCAACGAGCTGGATGTTCCTGGCATCGATCTCTGGAAGTATGCTGACGATGCCACTATTTCGGAGACGATAAGCAAGAACCAAGACAGTCACATTCAAGCTGCTGTTGACACCATAGCATGCCGTGCGATCGAGGATAAGTTTCAACTAAACGAGACGAAATGCAAAGAACTGCTCGGCATAAACTTTAACACTAACAACCCTACTTCTTTCGATCCAGTTGTTGTTAATGGCAAGCCCATTGATCTAACTACTTGTGCCAAAATACTAGGCCTCAACTATTAGATATTAAAACGAAGACATAAGAAACTACTCGAACTCATCAAGAAATTAAAATGTGACAGATAACCTGCTATGGTGAGTTTTGATAAGTTGAAGATGAGAAAACGATTAAAAAGTTCAGCCTTAACTAATTTACCACTACAGTTTATCTTTCGTCATCATCCTGTATTTGATAATCCGATCAACTGCTCACTTGCTAACGCTATCGCAGCATAGAAGTTTCTTTAGAGAATAGTCATCTGCTGCAATTATAATAACCGCCTTATTCGGGGCACAAAGTAATGTAATTAAAAAAGAAAGGAAAGATACAAGCTACACAGAGGATATTACATGGCCGCACGAAATTTCTCTTCGAGCGTTGAAATATTTCACGAGTGAGCGAAGCGAATGATTGAATTTTTTTGAAATATTTTTTCACTTGTGAAGATACCATATTATTATCGCATGTAAAGATATAGCGTTCTCGCGCGAAAGCTCACCTGGTATTTCATTAGTGTTTTATAATATATACATAATTTTTACACACCCAACTATTTAAGTATTTATTTCCCATGTTGTTAGGACTCTAAAACCACCTCGCGCCATGCACAAAGTAAAAATTTTCCTTTTCACGATAACACACAATCTCTGGTCGCAAGAAAGCCAAACTTCCATATTTTGATCCAAATAAATTATCTAAAACATATAAAATTAACTGACGAAACATCTATGTTTCCTAGTGATACAGCATGGTCGACGAAGTATGTCTAACGCTCCCTACATCAAAGTGGAACATTGTGTTAACCACGACTCTCGGCCTGTTGATCGCCATTATCGCTTCTACAACAAACGTATTAATACTCATAGCAATATATAAGAAGCCATCACTTCATACTGTCACATATTACTGCATTGCTTCCTTAGCAGTCGGTGATTTATTTGTCGGAATCGTTGCACTTCCACTTTGGATTACAAGATCTTTGTTATCAATCGCCGACGAAGAACACCTCCTAAGTGTAGCTGTGGACTGCGTTTATGTTCTGTCTGTTGGTATATCAACATATAACTTGTGTACAGTTAGTTTGGAAAGATACGTTGGAGTTATTTTGCCTTTGCGGTATAACGTTATCGCAACCATAAAACGGCTTCAGTATGCGGTAACGAGCGTATGGGTTATTTCAAGCAGTATCGCTTGCCTACGTTTGATTATTAACGAAGATTCTTACTGGTTGATGGCAATATCTACATTAATTTTTCTCCCGGGAATAGTCATTTCATACTGCTACGTTTGCATTTTCAAAGAAGCGTCCCGACAGTCAAGAGCTATTGATCAGCAGAGTGGGTCCCCTTCACCAGCAAACCGAATCCAGAACAAAAAGGCCTCCTTGACGATTGCGATAGTGATCGGTGTGTTTTATTTGACAGCCCTGCCAGCTCTGGCCTTCTCCATCGCTGAACTGGTCTCGGGAAATAATATGTCTTGTGAACAGAAAAAATCATTCGAGTCTTGGGGAACTTGGGCGCTCTTCTTCGTCTTTTCGAATGCAGTAGTTAATCCGTGGATTTACGCAGCCAGGAAAAGTGAATTTAGAGACGCTTTAAAAGTATTGAAGATTTGGAACTACACGTGTTAGGCAAAGGTTATCATAGACCGGTCAGTTTGTATAATTGATCTTTATATCATGTAGATATAAAGCAAATAAGTGAGTGTTGCACTTTATATTTTTTTTGGAGGCCACAAAAATAGCCCCGTAGTTAAGACAAGGCTACGCGTAAACAGAACCTTAAATGGGCAGAATTTCGTTGCAACTTTTCGATAGAACAAACAAATTACGAAGATTTTTAAAAATTCGTGTATTTGTTAGCTTCAATTGCTTTTGTTGTCATTGGAAATTATTAGCTCTTTCTTCAGCGAACGTTCTTCTGAACACTGAAACGTTGTTATGCAAATATCATGAACAATTAAAAAAAAAACAAGTCCATGGCGTAAAATCACGAAACAGCTCCAGATACATAAATTCGCAATTATTTCCTTTCTTTGTCCAAACTATCTTTCCTATAGTTTAAAAAGTGGGTCGTTTAGAAATCGAAAAGGGTCTCTCTTTTCTCTGAGAAGGTCGGCGGAGAATATGTCTTCTCTGTGGTTTTAGTAACTCCTGCATCTTACATTACTTATTTCTTCAACGTGCACTTTTAACACTTTGCCTACGCTTCTGCTGATAGGAAAAAACTTTTACTTTTTACAAGAATAAATGCTATTCTAAACTCATTAATTCAAGGCAATATCACAGCCGTCAAGTAAACTAAAGACAACATAAACGTTTTTTTAGAAATGATGAATTTGTCTGGTGGACCATTACGTTACTTTCAAAGTGAACATGGTGAGAACATTGGTTAAAATGCCGTCGAAATCCTTCTCTTTTTAAGATGTGTGTGCTTTTTCTAGGCTAGGTGTTTTAATTTTCAGGCTTCCTTTTGATGCATCATACTGAAAATTTACATAAGTACCTGGCGCTCTTGTATTTAGCTTAAATTATTTCTAACCCTTAATGGTTTTTTCTTTATATTTAAAATACATGACACATTCAATCAACTCTTACATAATTTAGCATAATATTATAGAATACAGCTTGTATAAAAAGAAAGTAAAGAATTAACCTGCACGTATATATTTTTTTTTTCTTTTTAATTAATAGCCCAAACTGACGCCATTGAAGCAAAAGTGTGGTAAAACTGGTGCTATGTTGATATCCCATTTGGGCGACTGATGGAGTCCTGGCAGTCAATGTCCGCTCTCTTGTCAATTTAGGGATCTAAGATGGCAGTTTATTACCGCCATAAATTTAACTGAGCTCCATTCTAGCTGTTTTTAATTGAACATAATTCTTCGCCAGGATTTTACCGTCCAGTACGCCAGCGACATTATTGATGATGTAAAGAACTTAATATACATTGTTTATCTTCAAGACTCTGCATATTTTGTTTTAAATACCAGTAAAAGGTTAAATTGGCTGGCAGTAGAGCATAATACAAAGACGGCCGGCTAAATTTCGAGGAACTAGTACTGATTAAATTCCGTATTTAAAATGAGGAGAGTGCTGGAGGAAGATAGAAAGAGCGCAAATTTGACTTTTTCATATGGCATTCATAACGCAATCTATCCAACCATTAAGATTACCAGATTTTGCGCGGCTCAATAAGGTTAAAAAAATTACTCCGTCTGCATTGTGCTGTATCTCAAAAGAAGGTTAATTAAATGAGAATCGATGTGTTTCTTAAACTGTAAGTCTGTAGTTGTTATTCCATCGGCAAACTATTAATGTAAATCAACTTAAAGAGGCAAGCCATGTACTTTTAATTGCTTTTATCCCTTCCCTGTGATGTCAATGCTTTTTCGTTTTGCACCTTGAGCATTACTTATCTACACGAAAATTTCTCTTTTCTGACTGGCGGTAAGGAATAAAGTTTTTAGGCAAGAAAATACAGACGAGAGGTAATATGGGGAAGAAGCGCGTGTTTCAGGAGAAACTAGCAACAGAGCGCATTACCCTAAGCGAAAGGCAGCGAGGATTCTCAACCTGTTCTTTCTCAATTGTCTTCGATCTATGTTCTCTAATACAATTCTACTTGCAGTACATTCACTTCCCTTTCTTCTACTCCATTTGACCACTGTCACTCTGATTGACTGACCGACTGAGTAACCCTGGTCGACTCTCTCTCACTCACTTGGTCGATTGACTCTCTCGCTCTCTCTCTCAGATTCGCACTCACTAGTAATTCAAAAGTACATACAAATTCACCTTTAAAATAATTACCCCCTCTGGCGACTTGATACAACTTTGAAATAAAACATAGAACGCGAAAATTAGCTCGGATTTCAACGGAAAGCTGTGATTTTGTACTATTAACACCGCACAAGAGCGTTGAATTGCCATCTGAGCGTTATGAAATCTGACCGACTTTTTGATTACCGTATTGTATTCTAGGAATGTTTCAAAAGATTGTAGAAATTCTCTGGAAATTTTCACGTCTCTAAAATGATAGTTCTTAATGAAGTGGAGTGGAGTATAAAATATATATCCCCAAGCAGTTTAATCAAGTGCCTCAGCAATCATTTACAATTTCCATTTCCATCCACATATCCTGATTACAACTTCACAGAGCACAGAAGTCTCAGTCATTTTTTTCCAACTCTAATACTCTTTTTTCTCGCCCTGAGAATTCGTCAGTGAGTGAGCTGAAGAGCCTCAGCCTTACCTGGCACTCAATCCAGAGATTGACTCAAGACAGAGAGAAGTGAAGAGCTTTTGTTGCTGCCCTACATGCCAGGAGGTATGGTATGATGGGCAAGATAGGTAGATGGACTCATTGTTTGTTTCGGAATACGGCAAAAGACGATAAACTGTCTCCTAATCATTTCCGAGGATGGCGCACCAAAAATACAGAGCTCCCCCTTGCAGAAATATCTTAGAAGATGTGATTAGTGCATTATAAAACTCAGAGGAGATTTTTTTTTTCTTTGAAGAGAGAGATTGTCACCCTTTGAATTAGCGAATTAAGCCTAGCATGACATTACAAAAGATGATAAACATCTCAAAATAAATGCACTTTGTTGTCTCCGGCACGTTATTGAAAACGGAACTTTTCCTTGCAAAAATATCTAAATAGGTTTGATCTACATATCGTAGAAACTTCGAAAAAAAATTTTAGTCACTCGAAGTGAGAGCATTTTACCATATAAATCAGCGATTAATGCCCAAAAAAGGCGCTAAATGTGCTGAGCAAGCGAGGCCCAAATTAAACTTTAACAGGGTGACTTTATTCGACAGAATGATGGAACGGTGGAATGGCGGAATATCCTATAACTCTGAATGGCTTGTTAAATTAAACAAAAGTCTCACACAAAAAAAGTCCAATGAGATAAGAAAATAATGAACAATTAATGGCCAAAATCAATAGAGGCATAGTTTAATCATTAACCCTAAGCAAATAAAACATATCTTCTGCAACATCCAGTACAATACTTTCTAGAATCATCATACAACCCCTAGTTCTTTCCATTGCCACAAACATGATTGTACAATATCGATAGCCATATATTGTCTTAAACCGTATCTTCCTGATTTTGGACTCTAGTGGCCGATTTTTCATTTTAAGACATTAGTCTTAGAAATTAATTTGCAACTTTTTGTGGGTGTGCCCCACATAAAATAGGAGGCGAAGCCATCATTTGATGGGTATCAGCGATTGAGCAAGGAATGGTAAGTAACAATAGAAGTCTGATTTTGAATTAATCCCGGTACCTCTTATTTTTTATTTCGAAGCCGATCTTATAAGTGCGACATTCACATTCGATACACATTTGAGTTCTGTCCTTTTCCTCTGACATATTATGTTTTCAGTTCTTGTTGTGACTCTACAGAAGACAGCAGAAGACGATAAACATCTCACTATTGTTTAAGAAGGCGTGTGATTAAAAAACACAACTTTTCCTTGAAGAAGTATCTTAATCGGTGGGATCGACCCATCATGAAAACCTAGAGGGTAAAAAATTTTCTTTAAAGAGAGAGCATTTTAACGTATGTAACAACCAAGTATTCTAAGTAGATCTAAAAATATACCTTTTTCAGGTCTTGCAACGACACTACAAAAGATGGTGAACATTTTAAAATCAGATTTCACAGCGGTACCACCGACGCTTACTTTAAATCTGAACTTTTCCTTGCA